TAACCCTCGTGTGCTTTGCCATCATTAAATAATCCAATCCAATCCTTAATTAAATATAATTGATTTGTAACTTCTACTAGAGCTGACGGTAAAAATTGAAGTGCAAATAAATAATATCGTGTGCAATCTTGATTAATATAAAATTTAAAATTTTGCATAGAAAAATATTTGCATTCAGAGAGAAAGTTTTTTGAAATATTTCCAATTACTTTATAAGAAGGATTATTAATAACCGTAATGATTACTTATTATATTACTGATGATTAGGATTCAGTTCTTGACAATTACATTCTAAATTTGAATTTTAAGGATATAATGAAAATACGCTGCGAACAAAAATACATTTTAGGATAAAAAATGAGTTGGTTTTTTTATGTGCTAAAACTTCTTAAATTCATTTAATAAACATCGTATCCTCGTTGTTAATTGAATCCAGAATGTTGTGTGTCGTTTATATAATTATTCTTACTTGTCCCCAGAAGCTGCTGACTTATCCAGCCATTAAGTAGCTGCAGATCATTTCTACATAAACCACTGAACTTCCACTAATTCAGTCTCTAGAGGGTTGTATGTTTATATCATAATTTGACTTATATAAATGATTATTCTAAATCTTATGTTTCTATAAAAATATACTGTGCTTTAAAAATATGGATGGTAGTATCTGCCGCTCTTTCAGCCACTTCAAAAGCAACAGTTTGTTTAGAAATAAATTATGCAGTTAATGTCATAAAATTCAAATAAACATTAAACGAAAATTCTCAGTTTTAGACAATTGGATTTAAACGAATTAAAGTAGCAGACGATAAAACTCCGAAGGTAAAAATTTACTCTTAGAAAAATGTACTCTTATTTTTTTAAAAAAAGGAAGAAAGAGAGAAATTTAAAAAAAATTTTAAAAATTTTAATAATACCATCTATAATTTAAAAAAATAGCTTTTCATGTAGTATTAATAAATATTTATTACTTATTACGCCTTATTGAGGGGAAAAAATTCATATAATTAATTCTCCGTAAAATTTTACTTGAAATTTAAGGTTAAAAATAGCTGTGGCAATTCAGTGTAACAAAAATCCATAGACCACATTTGGCGTTATTATCGCTCAAAAAAAAGATGCCAAATTTCAAAACGCGAAAATATGTAAATTCGTGTATATCTTAGAAAATTTTGAATTAAAAAGTCTAATTTTTTGCAGATATGCTTAAAAATACACCTACTTTATGATGATGGTAAAAATTTTATAGGTTATAATTCAAAATTTTTTTCGAAAAATTTATAAAAATTATTTAAAAATAGAAATTTAAAAAATAAAACACAAAAAATGGGTAAATTTCATTTGGAATGAACCTAAATTTCGAAATGTGAGAGAAAAAATCAAAAAAGTTTAATAAAAAAAGAGATATTAATAGATATTTGCTAAATTCAATTAACATTGAGGAGCTAAAATTTTGAGAGCTAATATTTTAAAAACTAGTCGTACGATTTTTACAAAACTTGGTATTCTGGCATAATTTGAGTCGTAGAATCGAAATATGGAAAACAATTGGTATGTTATTTCAGAAAAAGTCCGATTTTGTGTCAAAATACCTATGTTAGAATAGTGCTATATATAAATCTAATATATATCCTAAGTCGCGCTTTCGAGACATGAAAAACGCAGTTTGAATTTTGTCGATCGGCCCAGTAGAACGGGAGGTATAGCACTGTCCCATTTTTTTTTTTTTTGAGCAGTGTACAATTTACAAATATATAAGAGTAAAGAAACTGAGATCACTGAGCCGGGTAACAGAGTGGATATATATATAAATATATTTATACACGTTTGGTGCGGCCGATTGCAACCAAAATACGAGGTGCACATCTATATGTTATAGCAGTCCTATAACAAAATTTCAACGTTCTGAGGCTACTCGTTTTTGAGTTATGCGAGATACGTACATACGTTCGTACAGACGCCACGAAAAATTCTCTTCAGAATTCATTTTAAAGCAGTTTTATAATTTTTTTTGAGGAAACGAGTCTTTTATTTTGTCCTTACGTACAGATATCACGCAAAAACATCGTTAAATTGCATCCGGTAGCAGTCAAAATGGATATTTTCGTTGAAATATGCTGCCTGAAACTTTTCGCGATTACAATACTTTCTTTTTACTTCGTACAAGGAAGCAAAAGGAGATTCCAGTTGAAAACCTTAATATGTGTTTGCATTCTTTTGGGCCATCTTCTGTGCGTACAAAGCCAGTTTAGGATGAATATTGATGCTATGTGTCGTAGGATACATTCTGTTAAGACATTTTTTCAAGATGTTAGTCATAAATTTCTCTTCAAATCACCTTTATACTTATATAGTGAATCAGAGGAAAACACTAAATTAACCCATATCACTTTTCAACTGTTAAAACTGTGGGAAGCTGCTCGTACACTGCTCGTTAATAATTTATGACAAATACCACAAAGGGAAGTGAAAGCTTAGTTTGCCTATTCGAAAAGAGATCATACAAAAGTTTTCATTATTTGGTGTCAGATCATAAAATAAGAATTAAGAAGCTTGTCTAATATAGACAAAAAAAAAAAAAAAAAAAAAAAAAAAAAAAAAAAAAAAATTTAAAAAAACTTGAAGTATTTAATCCTTTTTTTTTTCGAATTGCAGTACAGTAGAATAAAGAATTTAGGAAAAGATTTTTTGTGAGAAACGGGATTACAAAATTCATGCACAATTCTATATCATCTAATAACAAATATTCTAAGATATTTATTAACTATCGTAATTCAGTAGGAGGAGGAAACGATTTCTAAGAAATTTTGTTTTTATCCGAAGCATAAACTCTCTTTTATAGAATGCTATTTGATAGCGGGATAATATATAACATTTATTCAAAAGATCTAACTGTAGAAACATTTAGTGCAGCTTGTTGCCTGATGCTTGGTTTGGGAGAAGCTTCTATTGCTTACCGTTGTCAGTTACTGTAAATGATAGAATAGGATGGCTATGTAAACAAGATCGAACTCAGTCTATATCAAAATTAGGGACATCGTTGAACCATTATGCCAATAAGTAATTTGCGAAACTTAAATCGGTAAGCTAAATATGCTTTGGGCCGTTAATAATCTCTACAGCGAGGGTTGCAAAACCTCTATAATAACAAAAGATATACTGTTTTTTCATAAACTATATGCTAGAATTAATTAGTGTCACTTTTCATAATGAAACTTGCCCCCCCCCCGAAAAAAAAAGCACCAAACGATTTTATATTGGCAAGAGAAGATTCTATTTATGTTCTCACTTGACTGGCTCCGACGAATCACATTCATTATCGCAGCTCGACGGCTTTCTACTTCAAAAAATTTGCTTTTTACCTTGTAGAGACCAGGTGGGTTACCTCCTATCTGGATACTGGAGTATCAGTAAACTACACAAAAGAAGGGTTCAGATCCTTTATTAACTCTTTAAAATTTACAATGCGTCAACTCGACGCTAACAAACTTCGCCTCTACTTGGGCGGTAACTGAAAGTCCGATAATTGAAAATAAAAAAGTTGAAATGTTTAACAAGTGATAAACTAACCTACAGAGCTCAGCGAGATCCCGAGCTTCAACCCCCTTCTAATCTAGTGGCAGCAAAGCAATGCAAATTAAGCCACTTGAACCAGGAATAAGCAAACGTACCTACGGCAGAGACGGCAGCTAGAACCCAACTCTTCCTTTCTCCTACCGAAACTCGGCTTTTAACTACTTCCTACAACATCGAAAATTTGCATGCGTTCGCGCGTGCTACAACATTTAACTATTCTGGCACCAACACTTAGGGAAATGAAGGCTTATAGAAAAGTCTGAACTTAAAATTTAAAATGTCAGTTAAAATAAATATAAATCCCTACAACCTTCAATTCAGTACTTCTGCATACCTAGACTTTTACTATTTACTCATATAACTTAATTACCGTATGTTCTCCTTCGGGTGGGTACGTTCGCACCTTGATTCATTTACATACGCAATTGGCATAAAGCATATGAAAAACGATCTGGTTAAAATCCTCATGTGATTGTGTACCAGTATAACAGAAACTATTAGTGATTGGTCTATTTATGTTCCGAGGCTAGAAGTCTTAAGATTTTGTACTAACGTTGCATTTGTGCTTCATTCTTTTTAGCAAGTTACCTTCTTTTATAAAATATACTCCAGATAATACAGCCTAGCAGGTAAGCCTGGTGCTATTTAAAAACTTATAAATGAATCCCTTGTAAGTTCTGTATTTCAACTCCTCGATTTAAATGTTTGTAAAGATTGTTAACTTTGATTTATATTCTATTTGTGTTCTGTCTGAGCTAAGCAAACTCTTTAACTTGTTAAATAAAGATTTCGAAGTTATTCTACCTTATGATTCTTTAATAAAACTATGCTGGATAGATGATAGTGTACTCAAACGCCTTAACTGTGTTGAAAAGACGACATATCATTATATATATTAATAAAAGGCGTACTACTATATGATAAGTTTCATCAGAGATTTACTTGCTGCATAAATTAACATTTTGTTTCAAGGAATCTGAAAACAAATATTAATTTATGCACTGGCCTCTTCGCCCAAAGTTTTACCCCCCATAAATTAACGTTCTGCATTCGTGGTATTGATTATTTATTCGGATGTTTCTTAAGAAACATCCGAATAAATAATCAATACCATGATGTAATCAATATATGATGAATAATCAATAATCAATAATCAATATATGGTGTATGATAATAGAAGATGAATCTCAGAGGACAACGATTTCTTGTTTTTAGATAACATTTCTAGGTTTTCAGCAAATTAAGACTAACCAAGTCTTAGTTATAGAGGCGGAAATTGTGCAGGCAACGATCTGAAATTCTCATTCTTAATAGCAGCAGGAGTTATGTTACTTGAACATATTACTTCAGATTATGTCTATAAATCTCATCCCAGTCTGCTTTATCTAAGTAATTTCAACTCATTCCGTTTAAACCTTTACTTCCAGGCAGCGTCCTTGGATTATACCTGGCGGAAATATTTATTGATGATCAATGGGGATGGAGCTTTCAACTTCCTGGAATTATCGTCACTGTTATGGGATTAATTGTTATTTTCTTTCTAGTGACAGATCCATCAGATGTTAACATCTTAGACGCAGAGAAAGAAAACAGTCTGAATCGCAGAGGTGAAGGTAAGAGCAGTATGTGATTAGAGTAGATATTAAGTTTGTCAGTGAAGTCTCATCATTAACCATTAAAACCTTCTAAGCGGCAAGACCATATATATATACGGCCTAGAGTACGTTTTTTATATCTGTAAGAACGTATATATACGTGCATATTAAAATATGTCGAAGAAATTAAGGCAATATATCAAAAGTACACAAATTCAGGTATGAAATACCAGGAGAGTTTTTACATTAAAATTAAAAAATAATTTGTTCTCATAGTAGTTTTGGAAAATTTGAGCTTTCTTAGCGAAACCCTTGGCCGCTCAGAGGGTTAAATAATCTGTTAAATAAAGAAATAAACTCTTTTCGTTTATAATTCAGCAACTCAGCAACAGAAAATATAATGTCCGGCATATTAAAACTTCATTTGCATAATATAAACTAAAGCGCTAACTAGCTAAATAATTAAATAGTTTTTTTAAAGTTTTGGATGCAACCTAATGAATGAACGATGCATAATATAACAGTAACATGTCTTGACAACTTAGCTTCAGATTGAACTTAATCGAAATGATTCACATTTGCTGTTTGCAAAATTTATCATTGATTCATTCCAAGGCACTAGAGAAACAGAAGAACCACACCTTTACTGGTGGGAAAACACTTAACTGTTGCGAGAAACCAGCAGTATTCTCCTAGACGAGGAATGCTGCTACGGTTTTACAGACCAAAAATAGTAGTGTGGGTATACGGCAATTATGTGGTTTTAGACAAATCTGCAGAGCACAGTAAAGCAAAGACTTCTATAGTGTAAATATTTGCAGAAGGCGTGAGAATGGAATCAATGTGCTTGAAAAGACTAGAAAAGGCGCAAAAGCAGTGAAAAATTAGGTTAAGTTAAAATTAGATTAAGTATCTTTCAAGACATCAACACATTACACAGGTTAAAATAAATTTCGTAATTGTCAGTGTGTTGCCTAGTTGGATGTACACTGCGGAAGGGGGAAAAAAAAAAAAAAAAAAAAAAAAAAAAGAGAGAAAGGGAAAAAAAAAAAAAAAAGACAGTTCTACTGGGCCGATTGACAAAATTCAAATTGCATTGCGTTTTTCATGTCTCGAAAGCGCGACTTAGGATACATATTAGATTTATATATAGCATTTTTTCTAACATAGGTATTTTGACACAAAATCGGACTTTCTCTGAAACAATGTTTTCCATATTTCGATTCTGCGACTCAAATTATGCCTAGATATTAAATTTTGTAATTTTTGGTAAGAAACTTATGAAGAAGTTTAAAAATTTATCTTGGCGCCTTCTTTTGAGTTTGAGCCAAGAATAATTCACATGGCACACTCCTTAATTTATAGCAACCTATTTTCCTTTCCTTTTTACTTCCTTGTACGAAGTAAAAAGAAGTATTGTAATCGCGAAAAGTTTCAGGCAGCATATTTCAACGAAAATATCCATTTTGACCGCTATCAAATGAAATTTAACGATGTTTTTGCGTGGTATCTGTACTTAAGGACAGAATAAAAGACTCTTTTCCTTCAAAAAAATTATAAAACTGCTTTAAAATGAATTCTGAAGAGAATTTTTCGTCGCGTCTGTACGAACGTATGTGCGTACGTACGTATCTCGCATAACTCAAAAACGAGTACCCTCAGAACGTTGAAATTTTGTATATAGGACTGTTATAACATCTAGATGTGCACCTCGTATTTTGGTTGCAATCGGCCGCACCAAACGTATATAAATATATTTATATATTTATCGTAAATTGTACATTTTTTGCTTTAAAATGATTGAATTATGTTGTTCTTATCTTTCGGTTAAGGTTTTTATGTCTTTAGTAAATCTGTATGCAATAGTTTTAGAATTATGAACAGTTTTAAAGTTGTTTAAGTGCCGCTAAGCCTAATAATTTTTTGATCGCTGCCATTGCTTGTTTACATTTGATAGTAGATTTGTTGCCAATTTAGAGAAACTTAGCTTCGGAACAACAAAGATAACGCCTTCATTTATTATTGCGAATTAAATCATGCTTAATCCTTTCTGGAATTTTTTCGAGGAAATACGTGTTTAAAATTTACTTCGTAATTTTTAATACAGATATTGAGTTTTTATGTGTTTTTGCCTTGTTGCGAAGTGAGAACTGAACTAATTGAATGAGAAATACTCAATCGTCTGTGAAAAATGTTCCTTTTTTGTTTTGTTTGCTTAATTTCTTTTATACATCGTTCTAGCTTTATTATAGTATTTGAATAGAACATGTGGCAAAGATTAGATAATTCTTTAAATGATATAAATGTTGTGCATTGTGAGTTACAATATGAACGAAATATAATACTGTTAAGTGAACCTAGCGCCAGAGTGTCGCTATGGTAAACAAATAGAGTGAATTTTAAAGAATGCATTTATTCTATTGTGGTTTATGCGCTGTCGGGGAAGTAGATTTAATTCAATCCAATAAGTTTAAATTGAATGCAAGAAAAATATTCGTGTAATTTAATATTCCGTACAAGGAAGTCATGTGGTGTACACATCAGATTTTTTTTCATTGTACATGAGAAGGGTAAAAGTCATCGTTTCCACTTTCAAATAATTTTAGCAAAGTTTCTAAATCACATTTGATGTTTTATCGCTTTCAACAAACATGCCAAATTTCAAAATGCGCCAAAAATATGAATTCAGATATATCTTCGAAAGTTTTGAATACAGAACTGTAATTTTTTGCAGGCATGCTTAGAAATACGTCTACTTGAAGATAATGGTAAAAATTTTATAGATTATAATTAAAATTAAAAAAATTTTTTTAATATTTTTAAATACAAATTTAAAAAATAAATCATAAAAAATTTGGGAATTTTATTAGGAATGAACCTAAATTTCGAAGTATGAAAGGAAGAATCAAATAAGTTTAATAAAAAAGAGAGATTAAAAAATATATACCAAACTCAATTAACATTGAGGAGTTAAAATTTTAAGAGCTAATTTTTTAAAAAACTACCCGTGCGATTGGTAGTTTGGAGTAATTTGAGCCGTAGAATTGGAATGCGGGAAAGAATTGGTATGTTATGTAGAATTTACTTTCAAAACACACATGATACAGCACGTCTATTGCATTGTTAAATGCTTTATTTTACTAATAAGAAATAGATGAAAGTAATAAAAGGTAAGTTAAGTAAAATTTAATATTGCAGGTGATGTCATGATAGTTATACTCAGTCCACACAGGATTCATGTAATGATGAACGTTTCTCACACACTATCTGTCCTGGTGTCCGCCGATAACATCGCGGCAAAAACATCGCGGACGAAAACGTCGCGGAGAAAACAACGCAAGGAGAAAACATCGTGGGAGAAAACATCGCAAAGAGAAAACATCGCAGTTCTAAAACATCGTCGTCGAAAATAAAGCGGTTCAAAAACTTCGCAGTTTAAAAACATCGTCGTGGAAAATATCGTGGTAAAAAATAAAGTATCTACAAATGATCGCATGACGATAACATCGCAGACGTTCTTTTTTCGGGTTTTAATAATTGGAAATGGATATTCCCATAATGATTTGTGAGCGCAAGATGTAAAGAATCATAATTTTTACTTTCACATTTTTTAAATAACTAATAAATTTTTGCTGAAAAAGTAAGAAGGAAATTTAAGCATCAATAATTAAATGCAACTTATAGCTTATACTTTTCATGAAAAATTACCAGTAAAAGCATTACAAAAATTATATATTAATGGCCTTTGTTAGTTAACTATGTCGGTTTAAAATTCCATTAAGTGCTATAAGTTGCATTAATTTTCTATGCTTAAGTTTCCTTCTTATTGTCTCAGCAAAAATTTATTAGTTAATAAAAAATATGAAAGTAAAAATTATCCTTCTTTCCATCTTGCGCTCACAAATCTTTATGGGAATATCCATTTACAGTTATTAAAGAATGTCTCCGAAAAGCATGTCTGAAAAAAGCATATCTGCGATGTTATCGTCATGCGATGATTTGTAGATACTTTATTTTTTACCACGATATTTTCGACGACGATGTTTTTAAACTGCGAAGTTTTTGAACCGCTTTATTTTCGACGACGATGTTTTGTACCACGATGTTTTAGAACTGCGATGTTTTCTCGTTGCGATGTTTTCTCCCACGATGTTTTGTAGCACGACGTTTTCGCCTTGCGTTGTTTTCTCCGCGACGTTTTCGTCCGCGATGTTTTTGCCGCGATGTTTTCGGCTGTAACCATCTGTCCTACAGGCAAGTAGGCTTATGCCTTGAGATAATACGTTTATTCCACAGCTAGCTTTAGATAATATTATCAGTTTGGCTACAAGGAACTTAAACATCGAAGGAAACCGTCTGTTTCCACCAACTCTTGGAGGATTTACAAGCCGTCGGCTTGCCTCCGCTCATCTCCACGTCCGGACGCTATCTCACGTTGTCTTGATTGCTCCGCACTGTGCTAAGCTGGGATGACGTCACCACGCTAGGTATTCTAAGTCAGCATCGGTCGTCGATGATTTCTACAGTTATTTCATAAAAAGTCCGATTTTGTGTCAAAATACCTATAATAGAACAATGCTATATATATATCTAATACATATCCTAAGTCGTGCTTTCGTGACATCAAAAACGAAAGTTGAATTTCGTCAATTGGCCCAGTAAAACGGGAGATAATAGATCTGTTCCTTTTTTTTTTTTTTTTTTTTTTGTGCAGTATACCACAGTTTTAGCTGCTTCGAGTGGATAGACATTTTCAAAAAGAATAAGTTGCTTAAATCTACGGATCTATTCTGTCAGCAACTATTGTAAATTAGCGCCTGGAAGTAATAAGTAAGTGTGAGAGTGTGCACTGCTGAAGAACGCAAGGAACGTTATGATAATTGCAGACCTTCTTCACGAAAACTCGGGCGAACCAGGGCCGAATAAAGACTTTTAGAGGCCTTAAGTACTTCAAAAATTTCTGCTGCCACATATGTTTGCACCACTTTTTTCTTCCTTCCTTTCCTTGTAGAGTCATT